AATTTATTAAGTTCTAAACAATGTCGGGACCTGTTTTTGAAAGGGTCAAGCAACAAAAGAAAACGAAACGGCCGAGCTGTCGACCATGGAGAACTAAAACAAAACTTTCCCCAGCATTTACTATGCCGATCGCCCGATCGCCATAATGAATTTCGTACACCGGTGAGCGATATGAAGGTCAACGGCCCTCTTCTTGTTTTTGAAGCTCCTGCAAGTTTTGGAACAACTCTTTTCCAGAAGAGGGCTAGAACGCAAAGTTTAGACCCCCAAGCCACGTACCATTTGAGACTATGAGAGTTAATATAGCTTTAGGGAGCCGTAAAACAGGCAAAAAACCAGGTAAAGTGTTCACCTTCATGTTGCCGGCGGGTGTACGTAACTCGGACTGCAGGAGCAGTGTTGCACCCACGTTCCACGACATCAAGACGCTTCAATCGTACCATTCGAGCACGATATTGCCACACAATCCGACGGAACTGACGGAGCACCGTGTAGTTCCCGGTCATCCTAATCCAGACTGAACCGACTTCAGAAACATGTGAAATGCAGAGAGCTGGGCTTGTTAGTGGTTGTTAAACATGGTGTAGGTGTAACAGCACGAAACAAAGAGGACAAAGGAAGGGAACACAAGAGGACGAGCGCTGACTCGCAACTGAATGTTTATTAACGAAAACAGAGAAAAAGACTCACTTAACCGCGCATGCACAATCTAGGCTGTGCAATCACGTTCGGGCGTCCGCTATCAATGCTCCACTTACTCACCCTTCATTGTCGATGCCAAAGAAGTATTTTTTTTCTGATTACGCTACCCGTGATTCGCTGAAATATTGTGCTTCGTAGTAACAACGTGAAAGACCTCTATCACTTTTCTTCGTCGCCTTATACGCTGCCTTCCTAAGGTAGCTGTCTCATCAGAGGATGATTTGCACAAGCAACTCTTACAGTGTGCCCGTAGGTTCCCGGCAACCGAGGTGTTCAGGGAATAGCTGTGCTCGCTGGACCTGTCGTTTGATGCACCTACCGGTTTGTCCAACATGAACCCTACGACAAGAGAGGCGTATCCTGTATAAAATATCCGAACTATATATACACTCTAAAAAAAGTATGTGCGTGTGCTTTCACGCACAACACTCGGAGAACCAATCAGCGCAACTTACGGAGGCAGCTCAGCGAATGACGACGCCGAAAAATCTGTTTAGACCAAAAAACGCAGACTGAGTTGTGACATTAAGCAATACAAGCGAGACGTTTTGCATTGCTTAATGTCACAACTCAGACTGCGTTTTTGGTGTAAACATATGTTTCGGCATCGTCATTCGCTGAGCTGCCTCCGCAAGTTGCGTTGATTGGCTCTCCAAGTGTTGTGCGGGAAAGTAGGCGCACAGACTTTTTAAAGTGTACAAGTCACAAACGGGGTCGCATGCATTTTGCTGCACCTACTTTTAATGCGTGAAAACTGGAACGCTGAACGCTCGTTTGGACGAACACCCGCCGGTGTCAGTCAGGGAGTTTGTCAGCGCCATGCATGACGCCACGAGGAGAGAGGGAGTACCGTGTTGACAGTTCAGATGACTCAGAACGGCGCACCTACGCGCTCCACGCGTAGGTGCACTTAAGGTGCACCGAGGCGGGGGCAGAAGGAGAGGGTGACGCGTGCTGGCGTCAGCGCTTCGAGCCAATAGGAGCGTTGCGCAGCTGGCGCGGAGCCAGAGAGCAGAAGGCACCGAGGCGAGGTGGAATGCCCTTGGGATTGCGAGCGAGCTGAGTGCCGGAAGGAACTAATCTCACGCGTTTCCCATCTGATAAATCCCATTCATCTGCATATAAGTGTTTTGGAAGCTCTACTCCTTCGAGTTAACAGTCGAACAAACTTAGCTCTTTCTCTAGGGGTGGAAAACACTACTGGGTTTCCATGCCGGCCTCCTACGGCTACTAATTATTTTTTTTTTATTAAACATTTAGTGGCGAGACAGCGCTCGTTCAGTGGTGCGTGTTTCTTTCTTTAGTCTTTGTGTTACGTACTGCTACTCCTACATCATGTTTCGGGCCATGTTTTAAGGCGGTGAAAACAAGAGACCTACGCTTGAACGCAGAAAGAACGCCACGTTGACACGGATGTTCCCCGCTGTACCCTTCGTCGCATGCGGAAAGAATTACAAACATAGTAATAGTCTCCCATGGAATCGTCGTGACACCACCATGACCCCTGGCGCCATCTGCCGTGGTTTCCTTGAACACCAGTAGCTTCGTTATCCCGACGACGGCACGTGTACATCTCGGCAAGGCAGGCCGCCAGTGGACACTCTGGCCGACTCAGGAGAGTTGTTTAACAGATACCGGCAGCATAACACACACCGCGTGTAGGTTATTATAATGATGCTGCTTGCTTCGTGGTTCGTTCTTCATCTTCATTATCGGTTAATGTTCCAGTCTCATTGTCTCCGGAGTGTTCCTTAGATTCTTGGGAGTCGCCACCCCCTGCGTTGCTCGAGCTCTCAACACTATTCGATGCCCCACGCGGCCGAAAAGGGCGCTGCGGTCGGTCTTCCACAATGGCCCCTTTCACATATAGAGGCGACACCGAGTGGCTGTAACTCCAACTACGGTGGGTAGATGAAATGGGAGCTGAGATACCTTTTTCTGCCTTCTCTGCGGCTGATTCGAGTCGTGGCAGAGGCAGGAGAGGTAGTGCAACTGTTCCTCTGGACGCCAACCAGAGTTAGAGCTTTCACCGAAGCGAGAGGAAGGCCTGCGCATGGGCAGAACCCTTCTTGAAAAACGTCTTTTAGCCAAGAACTTAATATGACTCCTTTTGTAGGATCTATTCTGCTTTCATCGACGGAAATAAATTCAAGCTCGACGATGTTCCAGTTGAGCACGCGATGTTTACGGGCTTCTGTTGTGTTGTTACACATACCATCGCACTTGTTGATCGCAATTGATTATAAGTAGTCGGGATCACTACTCCTATCGTCACGGCAAGACATATCCTGGTCGTGACTGTCGCGAACAAAAAACAGGGAAAAAGACGCCACCAAAACTTCTCAGCGCTGATTGTATTTAAGCACCGTTAACGGTCTGAAATAAAAATCGAAGGATAAAACAAGTCGGAAGAGCTTGACGTTTCCCGGGATTTGTCTTTCGATCAAATATAATCGCCGTCTCGTGAGTATATAGCGGCAATCGCTCTCGTCTGAACGTATGCTCAAAAACCCTTATCGTTGTGTCACCCAGATATACCTATATTTACGACCTCACTTCGGAGATTGTTGAGATTCTTCGCATGTGGAAACTACGGCAGCTTCAGGAAATACCTAACCTAAACTCTGCCTGAGTTTATGTTTGCTAGCGAAGTACGTGGAATCGTTGTCGCATCAAATGTGAAAACCCAATTATTGTATGGGGTAAAAAAATACATTTGTAATGATTCCACTCTGCCTATATAAATACGTGCTCTGTACCCCAGCGAGAATTGCAGTTGTGGCTGACAACTGTTTTTGTTTGTTTTTTCTACCTTCGTCGATTAGTGATTTCTTTGTGTGCTCGGAGAAAGGCAAACGCGCGGGCATTTTCTTAGAATGAATTGCGGATTCCCGTCGTAAAGCTCAATTGATCAAAAATAAGGAAATTTCAGGTCGTGAGTTTTCAACACTTGCCTATAAAATGTGCGACAGGGCAATAAGTATACTAACATAGCCCAAAACAACCTAAGGCGATCTTCCAAAATCTCCCCAATCATTTCTTCGATTCTGCTTCTAAACGAGTATTTTCTTCCTAAGCATTTTCCCATGGCACTGGTGTCTTGTCGTCTCGCTAGCACCCATTTCGAAAGTCAGCGCGGTCGAATAACCATAGAACTCACACAATTAAAATGCTATCTTACTTTCGTGTGGAGCAATGCCGCACGCCACATCTAAACAACTGCATTTTGCGAAACACTGTAAATTTATTTTCTCAATCATAACATTGTGCTTATAGCAGGGTGCTTACTGGAGGCTTTGAGCAAAATGTAGTTTCTTCAAATTTTTGCACATCCGAACTCTGCTTATTCGTCAAGAAGGTTTTGAAATCTTAAATTACGACCCCCGAAAGCGAAGTATCTAGGGTGCACTCGTGTAGCATGGAGAGAATCAAACGATGAACCCCACAGTCGGATCAATGATTTATTCTAATCGGTTTAATATTTATATGCTATATTTTTGACAGAAAACCCTATGTTATTTCTGCAGTCTTTAACATATAAAGTGAGAGGCCCAACCTCTCGCAAACTTGTGTATAGGCTTGGAGATGAAACATCAAATAGTCTCCAATTGTTAATTGTCGCCTGAAGGCTCCTGAAAACAAAGAATATTTGGCAATACTTGCTCAGTAAAGCGCAGTCGCAGTTTGGTCAAACAGAAAATCGTTCATCGAAGATCATAATCTGAATTCTGAGACAGGGGAAACAAAATAACGGTAAAAAACAACAATGTAGTTGTTTTTCTATGCCCCCTTATTTTGTTTACCTAATTTTATTTCCCCTTGTCTCGGGGTTTAGATTATGGTGTTTCTTGATCATCTCACGTGCGTAGTTTCGCCTCTCGCAATTCATCACACACACACATATATATATATATATATATATATATATATATATGTATATACAAAGAAAGAGAGATTCCACGATTTTTGCGATTTAGCTGTGTTCTTTCTGCTGGGAGCGCTATAGTATGTTACACCATAAGAAGGGGGGGATGTCCCTCCCACAAGGATTTCCGCTCGCCATGACTGGCGGTTTCTTTCTCTTTACACGCCTTCCTACCAGGGCACAATCAGTCAAAGCTGAAAAAGAGAAGAGCTTTGTGGGACGAGCCTTTTCCATATGGTTAATGCAACAGAGGATAGGGTTGCGAAATATTTTATTTTACTCTGCTACGGCAACGAGTAGCAGCATACGCGCTTCTTTTGCACGTCAGTTATCGCGGTGTATGTTCCACCGACTCTTCGCTTACTTTTCGCAGGTACTGCGGAGCAGAGATCAAACCTGGCAACACCGCTACCTCCGTCAGCCGCGACCTGGTCGTCGAGTACAGGCCGTACGCTTCATTCAAGCAGGGCTTCACCGCAGACGTCACCTTCGTCCCTGCCTAAGACACCACTACAGTCATTTCCAAAACAACCAGTAAACGAAACGAGTTTTGTTTCTGGCAATCCTTTTGTACGGCTTCCAGTTCACCTACCATGTCAGGAGGCTATTTTTCAACTGCAAGATTACTGGCAAACTTTCGAGGTTAGGGTTTTGTTGGTGAAATTCCACAAGCAGTCCGCTGTTGCATATACCTCGGCCCCGATAGAAGTCTGTCTAGGCTCACATAAATGTGTTTTTATTTGTTTGTCTTTTTTTTTATTAATAGACAGTCACGAGAAATTGTACAAGAAACATAGATGTAAAAAAAGCGATTGTAGCGAGAATGTCTAGCAATTATAAATAAACTCTGCCGTACTTTCTAGACATTTTTTCTCAATCACATTCTCCAAAAAAGCCTCTCGGTAATATGCACCCAGTCAGCACGGCAGACTGGGTACTCTATCGGCCGATAGAAGGTACTCTATCGGCCCAAGTTTCGCGATCCTGGGGGCTCAACTTGGTTAACGTTTGCCTAATAAGGTTTCGCTCCGAGGCGCTGTTTTGTGCCAGAGTACCTTCTTTTTTGTTTTACTTCTCGACAGAATTTTTTCGGTTCGTCACATAATAGCCAAAGTGCTAGGCATGAGCCAAAAATGCCACGTATCAAACAGACAACCCGAAATGAAGCCTAATTTGGGAACTTATTTGTATATTTAGGTCGAAAGTTGTCAGGTGAAAGCCAAACAACCATAAATAAAGACTGATCGTTGCATTTCATCGGGAACTGATGGAAAAAAAGCCAGGTTACCAGCAAACAACCAGGCGATGAAGCCTTACTCTGCCAGTTCTTTTGGCAATTCAGGGTCAAATTCCTAGAGTAGGCACTGACCATAGAATATCAAGTTAGTTCATGCCTTAGCTTCTTTTGCGATTTTAGGTCCCTGAATTGTCAGACTTAAAACGTGTTCTCGATGAACTATGCCACTTGGGTGATGCTATCACAGAGTATCTTTATGGCTTGAATTTAATCTGAAAGCGTCACTCTTGAATGAGACGAAAAAAGCGTTACACTCAAGTTAACGCAACGTGAAGCCCACACGGCGCATGTCAGCCAATGAATAAGTATTTATAAAAGAAGCATTCTCTACCGTAATTAAACTTTAATTTTCATACATGGGTGTAATTCATTGTAGCGAGCGAGATTCAACGACCGCGGGATCAGTGGGAATTAAACCCCAGCTGAGGATCGAGACTTCTTCTTAGCATTCCACCGCCTTTGTCGATAACTTAATTTTGTGTGTGTGTGTGTAATGAGCGATAAGCTCTGACAGCGGAAGCCTCTCAAAGAAAATTAAAAAAAAATTTTAACTGCAAGTTATGGACACATGAAAACGATGTTATAGCCAAACCTAAGGTAATTGTTTTAGGGTTTGAGGTGTTTGGTCGAAATACGACGAGAACGCCTGTTTAAGTGTATAAGGAACAGCATCTGTGCGTGAGAAATAGATGTCGCTCGCATATGTATTTTACAAAAAAATGTTATTTTGAATGACTCTCCAGATTGACATGTACAAGGGGCAGCCAGATTTTTTAGTTGTCAACTTTTGCACGCGAAAACCCGAGACAATCTAAATATTATACATTTGTAAGTCAGTGTTTTGCCTAGATGCGCGCACTCATCGCTTTCACACTTTACACATGTCGTCGTGCAACAGCGGCGTCTAGAAACAATTCCACAAAATGCCTTTTTTTAGTGCACTTACTTTATTTTGAACTACGACATTTTTGGGCACCTTAGAAATTGTGTGCGGTGGAGCATTTAAGCGAAACCCAGCACACACGTGAGCCGTTTCGTCCTCACATCCAACAGTCCTTCAATTTAAAGGCATGCAGTGGGAGGGTAATGTTCTTTTTGAGTAATGGGGATGATGCACCCTGCATATAATCCGCCTTTTTTTCTACGTGATGTGTGAAGAATTGTCAATCATCCAAAAGCTTCTGCAGAGGAAGGAACGGCAATAGGGTTAATTAACACAAACCAAAAAGATGGATGCAGATATGATTGTTGTGACACAACTCCCCTTATAATTTGTACCTAGTTCAAGCAGAAAACGTTTCTTGCGGAATATAATTCGTGTATTTTGAGAGAGTTTCTGAGTAAGTATAATAAATAATACAGAAATAAAAAGTTAAAAACATTTGAGCTCATCACATTTCTGTACTTCGCTCTACAATTCAAATAATAAAAGGCGTTCTACGGGCCTTGACTGTTTTTTTTTGGTGGATTCTGACAAATTTAATTGCACTTTTTAACACTCCTAGCTGCCCCCTCAGCTCAGAAATGTTTATATGATCTCGCTTGAAACTATAGAATAAATTCTTGCTGCTAATCAATACGACCACTGTGATTATGCGCCATGTGTCATCATCAATATATCCCCCAAATATTGAACCATAACTCTAATAAACGGACCGGCTTAATAATCACAAGAAGAAAAGATGTAAAAGCCTAGTAAATTAATTTTTAGGTAACTTAGAGGTGTTCAGCTTCTAAACGAAACACATTAACTCTCATAGGAAGCAATGTCCAAACGTTAATTACTATAATTATTCGGTAGAGACGCTCAAAAGATGCTTTTTCTTATAAGTATTTTGTTCTAGTTTCAACTTTTGATAATATTATTATAGAACGTTAATTCTGCGCTTCTAGTAAAATAAGAATCTTACCATGATTCGCTCCATAACACCAGCGTAGACTTGGCACATGGGAAGAACAACATGAATGTAACCTCATACCGTTGCGTTATTGCACACTCTACAAACCCTGCCCCTAATCACATCCAAGACCGTATTGTACGCATCGGAGCACTATAAAGTTGACGAAGTTATGTGCCATCCCGTTACAATCTCGTACTATGAGCAGTGTCATTTTAGAGCGCAGCTCTTAGGGGCCCGTTCCCGGCTTGAGCGGCGTCGCCGTCGCCGTCGGCGTAACCAAGGTCACCCCAAGGTCACGCGACCCCCAAGGTCATCCCAAGGTCACGCGACCCCCAAGGTCACCGCAAGGTCACGTGACCCCCAAGGTGTGACCCCCAGAGGTCACGTGACCCCCCTGAAGTCACGTGACACGCCCCCCCCTGGAGGTCACGTGACCACCCCCAGGGTCACGTGACCCCCCGCCGAGGTCACGTGACCTCCCCGATGACGTCATCGTCACTGATGACGTCACCGGCATCCGCATCGTCATCGTCATCATCACTGATGACGTCGTCAATGACGTCACTGATTACCTCACCGGCATCCGCATCGTCATCATCATCGCTGATGACGTCGTCAATGACGTCACTGATTACCTCACCGGCATCCGCATCGTCATCATCATCGCTGATGACGTCATCAGTGACGTCACTGATGACGTCACCGGCATCCGCATCGTCATCGTCATCATCGCTGATGACGTCATCAGTGACGTCACTGATGACGTCACCGGCATCCGCATCGTCATCGTCATCATCACGAATGATGTCATCAGTGACGCCACTGATGACATCATCGGCATCGTCACGTGACCCCCAAGGTCACGTGACCCCCCCCCAGGTCACTTCACCACCCCCCAGTACCCTTCCCTCCTCCTCCTCCTCAAGAGCTGCGCTCTAATTCGGTGTTACAAGGAGTTGTAAACGGCTTTCACTTTTTGTGTCGCCTCTTATTTATGTAGGAGACAACCAAACCGCTACCATGCAGAAATTTATGATTTTTTTTCTGCAACGTTATGAGCATATTTAAAGTATCATGTTCCGAAAACGCCATCTTAAACGACACATAGCATTCTATAAAAATGGATTTCAACGAATAGACGTGCCAGCAGTTAAGCAGATTAGACTGCGAGATTCTTATTTTATACTCTATCGGTCGAAACTGGTTTGCGCTGTTCATTACCAACTTAGACAGTATGGTAAAGCTGCTAATCTCGAGTACTCAACCTGGATCGCGCAGTAGTAACACACGAACGAATGCCAGCGCGATGCTTGTCTGCAGTGTATGGAAATGGGTAGGGCGGAGAACGACCCCATGAGTCATCTCATGACTTTACAGCAAGACTTTTCCCTCCATATGCTCCAGGCTGCAGGACAATAAAGCGCATGGGCACCAGTACCCCTTTATAGGCACAATATTTAAAAGAAACAACTCGTTTCGTGCAAATATAAATACACTCAAAAAAAGCCCGTGTGTATACTTTGCCACACAACACTCGGGGAGCCAAAGCACGACAACTTACGGAGGCAGCTCAGCGAATGACGACGCCGAAACATATGTTTTGACCAAAAAACGCAGTCTGAGTTGCGACATTAAGTAATGCAATCATGACGTCTTGAATTGCTCAATCTCACAACTCAGAATGCGTTTTTTGGTCTAAGCATATGTTTCGGCATCGTCATTTGTTGAGCTGCCTCCGTAAGTTGCGCTGATTGGCTCTCCTAGTTTTATGCGGGAAAGTAGAGGCACAGGGCTTTTTTTAGAATCTAGGTCACACAGAGTTGTTTCGCGGATAAAATACGGGCATGCCGCACCTCTATTTTAGTCGTATCTCCTCGCAAAGTGCTTTTCTATTGTATTTTTTTAATGTGTTTTAACGTTTTCGATCAAACACGTAACCAATGTAATTTTATTGTGCCCGATTGTCTACGTACCATCCTCAAAAGTGTTAACAACAGTAAGCGGAGTCACTCGTTGAGCCTGCAAAGAATCATACATCGTTGCTATCGATATGTTGATTTCTAGTAACTAAAATCACCCGTTAAGGAGTCAAGGATGTAAAAAAAAAATATATTATTTTAGCATCTCATAACTTGTAGAATGTCAAATCCACCTGTTAGTACTCTAAAAAATCGGGTGCGTCGACTTTCTCTCAAAGCACTTGTAGGAGCCCATTTCTGCAATTTTAATAAAGAAGCTCGGCGAGCGACGAAGCTTAAGACATGTTTAGGCTTTTGAAATAAAATTGTGTGCTTTGGCCCTGAGTATTGCGTTTGCCGTTCTTATGTGATACTCACGGTTACAGCGCTGATTGTTTTCTAAATTGTTAACTTTTCATCATTGTGTTCTGACCGCAGCAATTGGTTCTCCCAAATGCCTTGCATGAAAGTAAAGGCACTGGATTTTAGTGTATATGACCTTCTGTGATTCCCTTAATTTACCTCAAGGCATTATCACCGAGCGTACTGCGCTCAGAGGGTTTGGGTCTCCAGAGCCTACTACCTATGGTAACCATATTCCTCAAAGTAAAAGACGGGACATCCCAAGGGGTGGGGGGTTGTTGTTGAAAGATTAAGATTGGGAGAAAGGATTTAATGAAATAATTGCTCTCATTTCAAAAAGTTAGCAAATTGCACTAAGCCCTATGGTCTAGGGAACAGTCACACTGCTTCGTATCCTTCGTTAACGTGGGCGTATTTTGCCGACGACTGAAGTTTCCTAAGCAGGACTTTATCCTGCAAAACTCGGTTGTAAAAGTCTGCACACTTTTATATATAAAAAAAAAATCATGTCTCGAAAACGGGACGTAATTCTTTATTGGGACAAAAAGACGGGAGAGCAGAAGCGCACCTAAAAAACGGGACTGTCCCAGCTGAATCGGAACGTCTGGTCACCCTACTACTATTATGCAATCGGCGTAACACGAGAACATTCCTATGGTGACTGTACAGTCAGAGCGTACCGTACATGTTCGAAATGAATGCAGACATCTCCCAGGGTAGGAGACAAAGGCGTTACGTATTCATATGGGCCTGATGTGGAGTTTAGAATTAGCTACAAGCAGTCAACGTCTGTCAAATCGCGGCAAAGCGATCATGGGTAGCAAAATTTGATGGCAATTGACAACGTGTTTACTATATGAAAACATACATTGACAATAATGAGTTTAGAACTCAAGTGAGCTTATGGAATAATGTTGCTGTCCTTTCCATGCCGCCCACACTTGATGACGTACTGTATTTTTGTTAAAGCTTTTATGAAAATGTCCGGGCAACTCGTCACCACGATAATGAAGACACAAATAAAACAAATATCAGAATAAATTCAGTAATAGCGACTAGCTGACGACCTTGAACGTTGGCAAACAAAACTTTACACGAATATATTTTTTTTATTTTATTTTTTAAACTTAAAACGTTTTAAACGCATCTAATCGAAAGGTGCACTTTTTAAACAGAATGTCAAAAACATATTAATCTGTTTTGCTGCCATGATACCGCATCCGAAAGGACATCTCCTGCTTTCTGTATTTCAGACGCTTCTACTCAACCGCCTTGCATGAAGACATGTAACATATCAGTTAGGGTGTCTATATAGGGACGTTTCGTCTAAGGACGACGCCATCTCCGACACCACGGGCAAATTCGACTCCTAGCACTTAGGCGGCAGTACAAAAGCCAGATTGACGACGCCCCCACGGTAAGTCAAAAAGGTGGACTGTCGATGTATTTTTCGTTAAATTGTTGACGCTGTCCTATAGCCGCATTGCACTAAAGATGACAAGGAGTGTTCTACTCCTGGAACTGAGAGTTACTTTAAGCTGCAATATGGGGTTTGAGTTCTCGTCCCCTTTTTGTTTGAAAGGATCATTATTTATTTGTACATACTGCTGGCCCGTGGGGCCGTGGCAGGGAGGAACAAACACACACACACACACAAAAAAGAATATGACTCATACCTCCAACAGAGCTACGAACAATGAAGTGGTTACAAGTTTAAATACAAAACGCGCCGAGAGCGCAAAATAGAAAACAAGAGCACTAAATGCACGTAAAAAGTGATAATAAATTTAACAATGACAATATACTGACAAAAATTATCACCAATAACTAATAACTGAGGGCACGTGCCGTGTACAAAAACAAAAAAAAAACAGTACAATATTTAAAGTATCACGTAATATATACATATTTAACCCCAAAAAGAGAAAAAAAAGAGAAAATAACACCAAGACAATATGCTCACTCTTTAAACAGAGTAAAAAAGTCTAACGGCGTCTTCGAACACTGAAACATCGTTGTGACTTACGATATGTTCGGGAAGCTTATTCCAGTCGTTAATTGTATTTGCAAAAAAGGAATACTTGAAAACATCGATTCTGGGCAGATACGACTGCAATGCTTTGGAATGATTTAATCTAGCTGATCTATTGGTTATGTTTCTAAGATAAGTGTCTCGGTTGATCTTTACTTGTTTATGATAAATCAAAAACAAAAACTTTAGGC